CTTCCTACTTCTGATGGGAATTGAAGACAAGCTATTAAATGAGTGGCAGAGTCAAATAAATGGTCAAATAAAAGGCCACAGATTAGGTTTAAGATTTTGCAAGACATGAAATAATGAGTTGGATTGGCAATACCAAATTTCAGCTTATAATTATTATTAATAAAACTTAATTAAAAAGACTTCAGTTTTATTAATAATAATTACAGGTTTATGTATTTTACTGTTGTGCGCTCTGGCCTAAAGGCCATAATAAAGGTTTGTTTGATTGAAATTTCAACCTGTATTATCAAACTAGCTGTCTAACTTCGATTAATTACCGGATTATATCACTTTATGGATGGGTTGCTTCTGCTGAGCAAGTAGGACTCCCAAATGATGCTTGGCTCAATAAAGACAGAAACACTCAACCTATCTGATCATAAGCAGAGTATTAAAAGTATGGGATAAACAAAAGAAAAAGAATCAATCCAGATTATCTCCCCTTGCTTCAATAATAAATATTTATCTTCATATAGGTGAATGCTCCAAAAAAATGAACAGTGAAAACAATAATGCGTTCATACTCAAGAGCTCATTATTAACAAAACAAAGGTGAAATCTTTTGAGATTCTTTCTTCAGAATGGTCAGAATCATCTTATTGGTTCCAGTAACTTCAAATAAGCAACATAGTTCAAAAGGAATAAGGTGACTTGACTGAATTTGAAAAACTTCTAACACAAAACTCAAAACATCAGTTGAGCTTTATTTATAAGTTGTTAGTGAAATATGACTCAGAAGCCAAACAAGTTAAAGATGGTATGATTAAATAGATGCAGAATTTAAACAGGACAGTTGATATGCAGCAATGAAAATATAAATGGAAAACAAATATTAAAGTTACTGTGAATGTTGCACTTAGAGAAAACTGGTACAAGATCTTTTACCTCCAGTATTGACTGCTAAATTCATTTTCTTAAAAAAAAAATGGAAATGCACTATTTAGATCAGTTTGGTGGCAATATTGTAAAGCTCAACAATTTTGGAAAATGATTTATTGTAGAATGAAACAAATTTTAAAGGTTGAATTATCTTTCCAGCCAGTTGTTTTTCTATCAAAACATTACTGAGCCTTATATTCCCATAAGGTACTCTAAACTCACTCTGTATACGTGAACAGCTGCTAGGACACTTTATGCCTTTTATTGTAAAGCATAAAGAAGAACGGCTAACTAAGCTGTGCACTCGTTATTGAAGAACAAGTCTGATATAAGATTTAATTCAGCTTGTAAACTATGTATGGATTACAATTCTATGTACGGACATGTATTGCATCCAAAGTTTGGATTTCCCTTATGATAAGGTTTTAATATATCAATTCCTATTTGATTCATTAAATAAGGATAGAATTCTTAGATAGATGGAAATCTTGTTAATTCTTTACTCTGATTTATAATTATAGTGGCTACTGTTTTTAACTATTGTATATCAATTTGACTCCAATAATGTTCTGAAGTCTTCAATTGATACAAGGCATTTCAATATGCAGCACTAATCTAAGATACATTGAAATTTTTATTTTTATATTGCTTGCAAATCTCTTTTCTATTCTCTTCCTGTTTTTTCCTCCTTTTGTTCTTGATTCCATGCTTTTTAAATAAAGGAATGAAAAAAGAAATGAAAAGAGAATTGCAGAGTGCAAGGAGGGTATTCCCTGAGGGATATCATCCTCCAGAAAACACCCAATGAGGAGTGAAGATGTTTACTATCTACCAAACACTGAATACTATTGAAGGAAGAGTCAGAGGTCAGAGGGACTAGGATGGAGTTTCCTGCTGGACTGCAGGATTCTGGGATGCAGATTCCTGCCCAAAGCAACACTTTGTTGAAGGTTTCACTAGATTTCATTCTAACACCTGCCTCTAACATTTTATGCTGTTTGCTTGTAAGACTCTAGATGACTTACAATATACATACATTAAAACATCCATAAAAACGTTCCAATATTCAATCACAATCTATTGGTGGCCTCAGTTAAAATCTTCTCTGAATGCACTGTGGAAGAACACTGTGTTCACCAGTTTTCCTGAAGGACGAAAGGGTGAGGTCCAAAATGAACATGGGGCCAGCTGTTCCCAAGTAACAGGAATGCCAGTGAGAACGTCCTTCTCAGGGTCCTTGCCTGTGGAAGAATGTAGGTCTGGCCTTGGGAAAAGACAAAAGAGCAATGAACCATTAAGGAAGGAAAAACAGCAACTCAGTTCTAGGAAGTAGAAAGCACGAGAAAGAAATTCAAAAGAGTCTTGCCCACCTTGATTTTGTGTGGTATAAGATGAGGCAGAGAGAATTTCTGACTGGCTTTCAAGATTCTGTTATCCTACAACGTTCCTGAGCATTCCTGGAATCCCTGTGGCTTCTGTTTCTTGACCTGGTATACCATGAAGAGCTAACATGGCCTTACTGATCACTTCACAAGCAGGCACCCATTGTATCCTCTCCCAGCCCAACTCTTTTTGGCCAGCCAATATTATCTGGAGAAGATGTTTCCAGGGGTGACAAGAGCCCAAGCGTTGTATGGTTTGTGTCTCCTAAAGACTCCACATTCAAAATGGAGATAAAAAGAAACCTTCAATTTACTTGAGAGACACACTTCAGAATTTAAGATGTATTATTTTATGTACAGATAAATTAATTTGGAAGTGTGCATGGAAGTGGACAGGGTCTCTTAGGAAAGCTTGTTATATAATTAAACCATTGGACCATTGCTAGAAACGCATACCATCAAATCCCAGGACTTGCTGCTTCCAGTCCATTATTACGGAATATGTGAATGGTTATCCTCTATAACTGATGTGGAATTTACCCTGTGTGAATGAAAACTCAGTGCTTTTTTAGGGCAGCACAAAGAAACATTGGAAAATAAGTATATTTTTGAAACATTGGGTACCTGGGTATTCTATTTGTTCAATTCCAACGCTATGATTCTATGATTCAATTTCCTTGTTTGGAAAAAAAAAAAAAGGAGGAGGAATAGGGCCCAGTTTATATTGAAGCCTCTGTAATAAAGGAGAGAAACTTGTAGTTTTAGCATTTTAGTGAATATATAAAACTATGGCTCTATGATTATTTATTACTGCAATTTATATGCCTCTCAATTACAAAAAGGCTCTGAGCTGGTTATAGTGGGTTTTTTTTTTTTTTTAGATAGATAAATAGAGTTATATATATATAGTGTTATCTAGTTATAGCATCATTTGGAGAGAAGAGTATATAAAGGAGCAGAAGAATAAAGAAAGAATAGTTAGAAAAGACAAATACATGGCCAAAATTAAATGAATATTTAGATGCAGATTGCGCAAAAATGGAGTCCTGGGTCTGAAAATATTAATAAATGAATAGGCTTTTTTGTCCTATAGGATTATCAGTTTCATAAATGAAAATGGTGCCTGCATCCTAATGTGTGAGAGAAGGCACAGTTCTTTATTTTTTCCCATACTGGAAAAAAAAAGTGGGTATATACCATAAGGGGACATGACAAAACAGATGTATATTTTGCTTACTATTAATATGTGCAGGCAGTAAGTATCCTATAGTGAAGTAAGACCTGGGCCCAGGTAAAAGGTTTCTAGCATAACCAGTCCAAAGACATTGTGCAGCTATTTTGTCTTTAATGCATTTTCTGGGTTATGACAATTAATGGAAGACATAGTAGGGAAAATCTTGTCTGGAGGTATCCAAGATTTATCCTGGTCATGGAATTCAGTAGTGGGAAACCGTCAGCTACTAAGCAGTTTGGTCAAAGGCAGCAACCTGTTTATGTGAAAAATGGCTTTGTGTAAAGCAGAGCTGAGTTTCCGTGTAAGAGGACTGCTCATTCTCTTATTTCTTTGCTCTTGCATCATTTTGTTTATGTGGGGAAGAAGCTGATCTGCAATTGTTTATAGCACTAGACAGTGATAGTGTGTAGATCTGTTTTCTTTCCAAGAAGGAATCTGGTTTTTAAAAGACCAGATGCAAAAATAAGTCCTCCTGAATTTTTGTGTAAATCAGAATGTATTCTTTATATAAGTATTTCATTAAAGTGTATTAACTCATCACATCATTAATATTGCTCTATTTTGTGCCAGGTAAGATGATGTATTTACTGAATTTATCAATATATATTGATTAAAATAGTATTTAAGAAGTTTTAAAAAATCACAATGATACTGGTACTGAGTAACCATGTGTGACCCACCCCTGCTCTCATAAATAGCTATTAAGGTTTGCAATGTACTTGTCTTTCCTTCAATTGCTTGCATGTAGAAAATGTGGATAAAGCAAGCACATTGCAGCCTCTCCTGCACAGAATAAATGTTTGGATAATAAGAACTAGAGAAAGAGTGATAAAAATAGTTCTGATTTCTTTTATCATTGATTGTACAGGCTCGAGATGCTGGGATACTGGCAGAATTTGGAGGTTCACAAGTTCTCCAGTCTGCTCTTGATCATAATGCGGCATTGTTATGTGATGTGGGAGCAGCCACTAAGGGCCAGGGAGATCATTGGATTCCAGTGCAGTGAATGTTGTTTGTGTATGGCAATTCATTTACATGACATTTTACAGAGTAACTTAAGCAATAAATATAGAGTCTAAAGAATGGACAAATTAAACAGAAAACTTGGGGAAGGAGTGTAGAGAGGGGTGACAAATTTTAAGGTGAAGATAAGAATGTTAATGGAGAAGCAAAACTCACAGGGAGCACAACAGAAAGGATTTTCAGACTATAAACTTTCACTTAACTGTTGCAATTCAGGGACCTCATTTTTGCCAAGTCCCTGAATTGTAGCATTTGGAATATGATTGCTAATCAGGTTACTCTTCAACTGCATTTTGCTGTTTGAACTGTTTCTTGCAAACTTATCTTACTTTTCTTGCAAACTACAAACTCTCTTAGGTGCCAGCTGGGTCACAGACTATAAGCTTGATGTGAGGCCAGAATGTTTAATTGCTTGTACCTTGACTTTTTCTTTTTGTTTGCAGATCCTGTACTTCAGGTGCCACTACACATGGAAGAGTAAGTGCTCCTTCTTTTCCAGGATCTACAGTTCCTAGTTTGGTTTTTGTTGCACTGGAAAATATGAACTAATATAACTCCAAACTTTTAAAATGAAAGCACTTCTACAGGCTTTGTAGGTTAGATCAAAATGGTTTGTATTATGAGCAGTGCAGTCATTTGTTTGTCTAAGAAAGGTTCCCACTGATTTCTTCTTCTGCTGAAATCCCTACATACCCCTCTTAGTATTAGTCTGGGGGGTATTGCGGGATGTAGCCAGAAGGAAAACCTCATTTTCAGTCCTTAAAAATGGAGCCAGTAGGGAAGGGCTCTAAAAGGCCTAGCTTCAGACTTCTTCATGTCCTGTGGAGCAGCCCCTCCCTTCACTCTTTAACTCTGCCTTCTAGGAGAAAGCAGAGACTTCCCCTGCATTTTGAGAGTTGAGGGGAAAAAGTAGAAAAATACTGGTAGTACCAACAGCACGTAACTGAGCAGGCTGTTCCTTGCAACCATGCACCAGCCACAGGCTGCAGGCAAGAGGCCACATGTTAGCCAAAGACCAAGGAAAGGCAGGCCATTGGAGCTATCCCAAGTAAGCAGCCATATTGACTGAGCCAAACTGGGCAGCAAAGGCCGCAGGGGCAGCAAAGCAAATTGAGAGGAACCCCCCCCCCCCCCCCC